CAGTATACATACTGTGAAGAAATGTCACTTTGCGAAAATTTTGAAGGTAAGAACACGTATTTAACCATTTTATTTGATTATAATGTAATTTCTTCTTTTAGATTGCAAAACAGCAGCGACTTATGCATATTCTTAAGGTATATATTGAGACTTTTTATATGTTTATAAATTTTAATTGATATTTTTGTTTGTTTACAGATTTGGGATTCACCATTAGCACCTTCAACGCTTGCATCTTCATCGCCAGGAGCACCTCCAGAACCATCTGCCCTCAGCTTCTTCATCGCCAGAAGCACCATCAGTACCTTCCGCCCTCAGCACCTTCAACGCCAGGAGCACCTTCAAAGTGTAGTTCAAACTTGTCAAATTTTGCAAAGTTGAAATAAAACTTAATTTTTGTGAACCACCATAAATGATTTGCAACTGTTAATATATATCAAAAGAAAGGTAAACCGATTACCTTTCTTTTAATTATAACACCGTTAAAATCGCTTTACGTTTTCATAAAAATTTTGCAACTTTTGTAAACAGCTATATGTAAGCAGTGAAAAAGTGGTGAAATTTTGCAAAGTTATAAGAAAAGTGAATGTTTGTAAACCAATTAAAATATTTTATAACTACTAATATATATCAAAAGGAAGGTAAATCGATTACCTTTCTTTTGATTATAATATTGTTAAAATCGATTAACTAATTTATAGAAATTTTGCATCTTTTGAAAAGATCTATATGTAAGCAGTGGAAAAGTGGTCCAATTTTGCAAAGTTGTAACAAAAGTGAATTTTTGTAAACCACTTAAAATATGTTTTAACTACTAGTATATATCAAAACAAAGGTAAATCGATTACCATTCTTTTGATGATAATATTGTTAAAATCGATTTACTATTTTATAGGAATTTTGCAACTTTCGAAAACATCTATATGTAAGAAGTGAAAAAGTCGTCAAATTTTGCAAAGTTGTAACAAAACTGAATTTTTGTGAACTAGTATAAATGATTTGCAACTGTTAATATACATCAAAAAAATGTTAATCGATTACCTTTCTTTTGATTATAATATTGTTAAAATCAATTGACGAATTTATAGAAATTTTGCAGCTTTTGAAAAGATCTATATGTAAGAAGTGAAAAAGTCGTCAAATTTTGCAAAGTTGTAACAAAACTGATTTTTTGTGAGCTAGTGTAAATGATTTGCAAATGGTAATAAATATCAAAAAAAAAGGTAAATCGATTACCTTTCTTTTGATTATAATATTGTTAGTATTGCTTAACTTTTTTATAGAAATTTTGCAACTTTTGAAAACAGCTATATGCAAAGGAGTAGTAGTAATAATAATCAATTAAGCAACCAGATATATATGTAAAATTATCTTTATTATTGTTAATTATAATTTTCATTCATAATATTGGTTTCTAACTATGTATATTAGGTCAACAATGCATTTTGAAAAATAAATCAAAAATATTTAAAGATTTTTTATTTAAAGTTCCTAAGGTTATTTTGAATTCGCTGTGAAGAAAATGCAACCCTGCGCCGGCCGAAGTGGGCAATACTAGACGAGTGCAGCTATATGTTTTCCTTACGAAGTATCTGAATGACTGCGACAGTGATGCAAGGCTCACACGTACAGCGGGTGGGTTGGTTGGTTGTGTGCTACCTAAGCTATCGCTCAAGAATCAGCTTATGAATTTGTATAAGTCGCCTATTGTAGCACTGGATAGATCCGTTAACTGCTCCACTATGTGTTTCCCAAAAGATTTATGTCTTAAGTAAGCCAGGCGTGGGCATTCGCACAGGAAATTAAATACTGTTTCTTCGCTGCCATCCAAGCCGCAACTGCGGCATATTCTGTTGTATGGAAGACCTATTCTACAAGCATGTTTTCCTAGCGGCCAGTGACCGGTGATAGTCGCTACAATTCTAAATACTTCTACCCTTGACCTACTTAGCAGTTCTGCTGTTCTTTTCCTGCTAAAGTCAGGCCAAAGCTCTCGTGCTATCTTGCAAGTCTGAATCTCTGACCACCTCCTCCTTGCCAGTTTCAGAAGGTGCAAGTATCACCGCTACAGATTCATCCAAACAAGCTCGCGCCTTGGCCAGTTTGTCTGCTCTCTCGTTGCCTTCTATGTTCCTATGGCCGGGAACCCAGACAAGAGAGATGGACATTGACTGAGACGCTGAGCGTAACTCCATCTTGCATTCCTTGACTAGCTTGGACTTGGTTACAGCGGATGATATAGCCAGGAGTGCTGCCTGGCTATCTGAGTAAATAACCGCTCTTTCTTTCCTGGTAGCGCTATTCCTTAGGCTTCCCAAATGCCCAGAACTTCAGCCTGAAATATGCTAGCATGGTTTTCCAGCCGGAGGGACCTATTGACACCAAGCTCCTCGGAATATGCCCCTGTCCCTACACCGCAGTCCATCTTGGACCCGTCAGTGTAGATACAGATGGTTTCCCTATCGGCAGCTTGGCCCCTTTTTCATTCCCTTCCGGATGGAAACCTCACTTGTACATTCAAGCCAAAATCGAGGGTTGATACCATATAGTCGGTGGTTTTATTTCCCATCAAAGTAAGGCCTAAGATTGAGCTATGCCCAAAGGTTCTCGATCCCCACAGCCCCGACTCTCTGAGTCTTAATGCTGAGTACATCGCGGCTTCCTTTAGGCATAGATCAATGGGCATCATATTGAGGATTACATTCAGTGCTTCTGAAGGGCAGGATTTCAGTGCCCCAGTTGTCCCCGAGCATGCCGCTCTTTGTAAGCTATTTAGTTTGCTAACATTGTATTGTTTGTCTAAGGCTGGCCACCATACTAGGGCGCCGTAGGTTAGGATCGGCCTTATGATAGCGGTGGTCATCCACATCACAAGTTTCGGTTTTAAACCCCAGTTTCTATTGAAGATCTGTTTACAAGTATAATAAGCGATGTAGGCCCCCTCTTTACGTTTCTCAACGTTAAGTTTCCAGTTTAGTTTGGTATCTAGAATTACTCCCAGATATTTTGCGTTGGACGATAGGGGTATTGTCTTCCCGCCTATGGATGGAAGTGTAAATTGGGGTATCTTATACTTATTAGTAAACAGTAAAAGCTCAGTTTTGTCTGGATTTACGTTAAGGCCACTGCCTTTAGCCCACGTGTGCAGTCTACCCAGCGCTTTTCCTAGAATTTCACTTACAGTAGAGAGAAAAGGTCCACTGACTGCTATCACTACATCGTCAGCATACGCCACTACTTTAACTCCACCTCTGTTGAGTTCTAGCAGTATGCTGTTTAGTGCTACAGCCCACAACCCACAACAGTATTCAATGTTGTTGAAGGCGCCCTCGATATCCAGAAAAGCGGCTAGAGTGTATTGCTTGAAGCGCAGTGATTTTCCGTCGATTTTCCTTTGATGTAAGCATGTTGTGCTGTTGATAGGGATTATTCCCCCAAGAACAATCTTATATATATATCTATTAGCCTTTCCAGTGCTTTAAGAACAAAGGAAGTTAGGCTTAGAGGTCTAAAGTCTTTCGCTGTTTCGTGGTTCTTCCTACCGGGCTTAGGGATGAACACTACTTTGACACGTCTCCAGTTCTGGGGGACATTTTCATACTAATACAAGCTCTATAGAGGGTTTCAAGTAGCGGTGCTATGTGCTTCTTTACATGCTGTAACATGGCCGATATTATACCATCTGGACCTGGAGATTTAAAGGGAGAGAAACTTTCCATTGCATAGATGATCTTTTCTTCGCTTATTATTGTTTCAAGTTCTGTATTTGGTATGTATGTGGGTTCCTTTCCATCTGATGCTGCTGCATTCTGTTCGCAGCCTGGAAAATGGAATTGAACTAGTGTTTCTAAAGACTCATCTGTGGAGTTTGTCCATACATAATTTATGTTTTTAATAAATGAGGGTTTAGTGTACTCCTTTGAGACGATCTTACTTAGCCTAGCTGAGTCTCTTACATTTTCTATCGAGGAACAGTAGGTTTGCCAGGACTTGGCCTTTGCTATCCTTAGTTTCTTTTTATATGATTTTAACGCACTTTTGTAGGGCACCCAATTCTTGGACCTAAAGCACTCGTTAAAAAGTTTTCTAACGCTATTTCTTAGAGTTCTAAGCTCCCCATTCCACCATGGCGGGGATTTCTTTTTCATGACACTCAGTGGGGTTGATCTTTCATAGGCTTTAGTCATCGCCCCCTCTAAGTTGCTTACGTTTCGTTCTATCTCATCTATTGAGGTAATATTTACTACCAGATTAACTTTAGTTAGTTTTCGCGTCAAAACTCTATTGAATTTCTACCAATTGGTTCTACGTGGGTTCTTGTATTTAGAGGGGGTGTAGGATACTCCGCGTAGATTAAAGAGTATCCAGCAGTGATCAGACATTGATGGCCTGTCGGAAACTCTCCAGTTATCAACGGTAACGCCATCGTTCTCAACGTTAGGTCCAACACCACCTCCCACCCAGGAAACCGGTCTGAACTTGGGAAGATAAAGGTTGGTCGGTTACCAGTATTGCAAATACTCAAACTAGTGTTTAATAAATAGTGTAGAAGTGACTCACATCGCTCGTTTTCTATTGTGCTGCCCCAAACTGGATGCCTGGCGTTTGCATCACATCCTATGACAATGGCTCGTCTGGGGTTCCGGTCAACTATAGTTTTGATTTCCGGTGGCGGACTGTCTCGTTCATGGGACATATAAGATGACACTAACAAGACGTCCTGTTGTCCTGCCGTCTCCACCTTAGCTACTTTTGTGTCTGCTGTGCTGAAATTAGAGCAAAGGAATGCATTTGTACCCTTCTTGATAATAATACACGCCCGTGGTTTACAAACCTCGCTCTTGTGGAAGAGATTGTAATTGTTGATACTAAGGCCCATTACTTCGTCGTTCTTGACCCAGGGCTCCTGTATTAGGCTAATGTCGATGTCCTCTTCGCCGAGAAGTACGACTAGACTATCTGTAGCACACTTCGAGTGCTGCAGATTTATTTGGACTATCTTACTGGTCCGGTTCATCGCTCAGTTTCACTCCCATAAGGAGTTCGCCTGCACCGGCGACGCCCGGGTCCTCTTCTACTGGGCTGACTTCACCAAGGAATACTCTTACCTTAGCTTTCCTAATGCCGAACCGAATCTTATAGTCGGCCTCTGCTAGGGCCTCCAAGGATTCGGAGCAAATCGCTAGGAGAATTGGCTTGTTTGTGGGCTTTCTCAGCTCTTCAACTTTGATGAGTTCCCACTCGTCTATTGCTGGTATGTTTTTATTATGCAGCTTTACACACCGCAGCAACTTTTCGCCAGGTTCGGCTATCGGAGGTAACCAAATGCGCGCACGGGGCCTCCTAGGGATGTCCTTGGCTGGTATGAGCTTCAGCTTCAAGCCCTCGAATGCGTCGCTAATCTTTGCTACACACCCAGCGAGGAGGTCCAAGGAGAACTGGTCCGCGCATTTGATGACCCGGTATCCCCTCAGGGATTCCGATGAGTCAAACTCTGGACGAGGACCTTCGGGGTTGTCGAGGACGTAGTCCATTACGAGACTCGACAGCATCACATCGATCTCCACCACTTTTGCTGCACTGCTAGCAGCGTTCTGCTACCTTCGTCAATAATTGAAGTCTGAAGATGGTCTCTTGCAACGTCGCTGAAGTAGCGATGCTTGGTGGATGTTGCGGACTCCGCTACATCCCCCTGCTTCAATCGTTTGCGGTCAGCTCCGTTGCCACTCTCGTTTTGAGACCTATTCCTTTTTTGGGTTTCGCTAGATCCCATGGTGGCAGTACGTTCTGTTTGGAATTTCTCATACTCTTCCACCATGGCCATATATCTACGCTTATCTTCCTCATCGCGCTTGTCTACACGTCCGGCTGCTGCAATTCTCTCTACTATGGGACTATGGCTGGCACCTTCCGTTTTACTGCTGATTCCCGCTTTTTCCTCTGAGGTGCTATGGCTGTCACCAACAGAGGAAATCGCTGTCGGGGTTGGTGGTTTTGCAGGGGATTTCAGGAGCTGTTCTTCCTTCGATAGCGTCACATCTTCCCCAGGCTTTTGTTTTTGTTCTTGCTGTTGTTGTTGTTGTTGTTTTTGTTTAATTTCTTTGTTCATTTGTAGTCCCATGAGTAGTCCGGAAGGGGTTCGTCACTCGTCCGCAGAGCCGGTATGCATGAAGAAGGCACTTCTACAACCGACCTTGCCCGGGCATCGGAGGGGACCGTTCGCGACCAGCCACATTTTACTACCCGCTGGCCATTCATCCATCGGCACGGTGGCCTTCACACCTTGGCTTGGGTAGTGTTGCGGCGCCTATGCGCTCTTGAACAACCAGAAAAATAGTGAACGAGAAATTGCATTGAATTTGACACTTGTAATTAGTCAAAGTGAGACGAACGAGAGAAACACAAATTGCGATGGGTTGCCATTGCAACCTTTCGCAACATGCCCCCCTTCGTAAATTTCCTACGTCTCCTCGTATGTAATTTACCAACTCAGATTTGGCTCGTGATATTCAGTTTTGCCAGTTTAACGACAGTTCGAGTGCACAGACCGTTTACTGTCCGCACCACAGCGCTGCGAGCATGTCCGTCCTTCCCACGATGGAGGTCTATTACTATTCCTTTCGGCCATGAGTTCCTCTTCGCATTATCGTCAACGATGACCACGACGTCGTTTATTTCAACTGGTAGAATCGGTGGTTGGAACCACTTCGCGCCTCTAGTAAGGCATGGAAGGTACTCTCTGATCCAACGCTTCCAGAATTGGTTAGCTAGCTGATTTGAAATTCGAAAGCATCGACGAAGAGATGAACTCCTGTCATCATCGCATCCAGATTCTCGAATTCCGCTGGAGTTTCCTAGCATGAAGTGGTTGGGCGTAAGTGCGTCGTCGTCTGAAGTTTCCAAAGGGACGTACGTCAGAGGTCTCGAATTGAGAATATTTTCGATGTCGGCCAGAGTAGCTCTCAAAACTTCCTCGCGCAGGCTAGCTTCGTGCGTAATATCCATTAAAATAGATTTAGTTGACCGTATCATTCGTTCCCATGCCCCACCCATGTGGGGAGCCGAAGTCGGAATGTAGAACCACTCGATATGGGGATGCTTCTTCTCTAGGTCATCGCACGACAACTTTTCTATCTCGTCGATAAGCGCTCGGCTAGCACCGCGAAAATTAGTGGCATTGTCTGACACAATGCACTTCGGTACTCCTCTTCGGCACACGAATTGCTTCAGCACCAATAGGAATGATTCCGTCGACAACGATGACGCGATCTCCATGTGAACTGCACGAGTGGTCAGGCACGTGAACAATGCGCCCCAGCGCTTTTCTCGGTGCCGTCCAACAGTAACATCAATGGGGCCAAAATAGTCTACCCCCGTGAACGTGAATGGCCGTGTAAATGGTGATAGCCGTTCCGAAGGCAGATTTCCCATTAAAGGAGGTTGCGGCTTAGCCTTTCGATTGCGACACGTCTGACAACTTTTGGCGCAATCTCTTACCAATGTCCGCAAAGCAGCTACGCAGAATCACTGGCGCATCTCATTGACGATGATCTCGTTATGATGATGGTGAAATTTTCTATGATAAAAGTCAATTAATAATCGCGTTACTGGGTGATTCTTCGGAAGTATTAAGGGCCGCTTCACACTGACGGCCACACCATTTGCGAAATCAATTATTCCTTTTACACGAAGAAGCCCAATATCGTCAAGATAAGGCGACCATTTAAAGATGCTGGACTGCCGCTGAATTCCTTGACCATTCTTAAGGCTCTTTATCTCTCCGCTAAACGCAGCTTCCTGGCCCACGGCTATGATAACGAGCTCTGCTGCCTCAAAATCGCGCAAATCGAACAGTTTTAGTAGCGACTGAGGAGTGACCTTCAGAACCAGGCGCGGAAAACGCAAGACAAATTGCTGTGTGCAACGCAACTTTTCCCAGGAGCTAAACCTCTGCACCTCTGGGGAAATTACTGACAGCGCCACAGCATCTGCCGTGCTTATGTGATGCAGCTCTGCGGTCACATTTGAGTTAGTGACTACTAGCTCTGTTTCGGGCCAGTAAGATTCGGGCTCAGCTAGGGATTTTGGCCCTTGAAACCAGGGTGGGTTGTCGTCAAATTTACGATCCTCGTTCCATTTCGTGCCTTCATCGGCAACGTTTTCGCAAGATGGTAACCACCTCCACTCTTTAGCGCTGGAACTCTCTAGAATCTCTCCAATACGTAGCGCAACGAATTGGTGGAATTTTCTGGCATCAGAGCGTACCCAGTAAATCACATTTTTTGAGTCCGTCCAAAAAACTTGAACAGAAAGTTCCTCGCTTATAAATTTCACCAGCCGTAGACCCAGAACAGCAGCCATTAACTCCAGCCTTGGAATTGAAATGGGTCTCAACGGTGTGACCCTCATCTTTGAAGCCAGCATCGAGCAGTTCACCTCGTTAATACCCTCAGCGCGCAGATACGCCACAGCAGCATATGTGTTGATACTCGCGTCCACGAAAATATGCAATTGAGTCCCGTCGCTACACTTGGCGAGTGTGTAGCAGCGAGGGACTCTTATGTTGTTTATCGAGGATATTCGTCGAACCCAATTACACCAACTCCTTTGTTCGCCCTCTCCGATAGCCTCGTCCCAATTAACACCAGAACGCCAAATGTCCAAGAGGATGATTTTTGCTTGTATAACGACGTAGCCGAGCAGTCCAAGCGGATCCAATATTTTCATTATCGTACGTAGAACTTCTCGCTTCGAATGAAATTTAGATTCATCAAAAACTTCTTCCGAAAACTTTTCCACAAATATTCCCAGCACCTTTTCGAAAGTAGCGGTTTAGCGGGTGCGTAGACACCGATAGCATCTGCAGCAAAATAAGCTTTCATTTGTTCATCCATTCGGTCGCTATTCGTATTGTCGACTCCAATAAAAATCCGTGCCCTAGCAGCTTTGCATGGAAGGATGGGAAGGTCTTTCAGATGGGTTTTTCTGCATTGTAGCACTGTCCAATGTTTGAACAGGCAAACCTAGATGAGCAATTGTACGTACACGCTTTAAGAAGTATCGTGGAGCGTCCACCTGTGTTGATGTGATCTCGAAACTTACAAACTTGGAGTTACTTTCGTTTTGCGTAATTTCGCTAGTCCATCGCAGACACAGTGCCTCGGACGGCCCATCCAAGTCAAGATCATCAACAAGCTGATCGTTGCTGATGCTGCTATTTACGGCAGCAGGGGTGTGGAGTAGTGAATTGTGTGCCATATGGTTGCCGTCAACCCCACACTTATTCTTAGAACTGCACCGGCGAACGTAGTGAGAATTGAAACAGCGCAAGCAAAGTTTTTTTTCCCGAATAAACTGCCAGCGATCGTTTCGCGAGAGCGCGGTAAATTCAGCACAGTCTGACAGCTTATGATTTGCATTAAACTTTAGGCATATAGCCACCTTCACGTTTGTATCTACCTTTTTATCAACGACTTCGTGGACTAGAATTCTCGCCCTTTGAGAGTTGAGGCCACCCTTCTTCATTTCAGTAGTATCAATTGCTGTAGTAGGTGGCTGACATATCGTTACTTGACTCGCGCACCTAGCTAGTCCAAAAAGCCATTCGTCGAATGTACCAATGTCGGCGCGACCGAGTGACATACGATAACTACCCCAATTGAGCCTTTGGTCGCTGGGCAACTTAGCTACCAAGTCATTTAGCAACGCAGGATCCTTTAAATAATCGGCAAGCCCGACCGTCTGCATTGTAGTGCGATAGTTCTGCACTGCGAGGGAAAACGCTACGAGCGTTTCCAATTTATCAGCCTTAACGCAAGGTTTTTGCCTTAATTTCGACTGCATTGTTTGGTGAATAATGTCTGGCCTACCATAAAGCATTCTCAGTGTGTTGATAGCCAGCCCCACTGTTGATGGCATCATTAACCTACCACGCACTGCTTCGAGGGCTGGCCCCTTTAAGCACTTTTGTAGTCTGATCAAATTTTCTTGATCGGTGAATCCACATCGCTCGGTGGACTGCTCGTAATTCGTGATAAATAAGGGCCAGTCCTCAGGCTTACCGGAGAAGGAAGGCAGATCCTTCGTCATCACTTGCCGACTGGAAATCTTCATTGGAGTGAAGTTGATGTCGGCTTTGCTATACTGGCTAAGAAAATTGTAAGGTGGGCCATACATTTGGGTATACGGTGGCAGTATGTTCGGTTGTGCAAAGGTTGTCGTATTTGGTTGAACTAAACCTGGAACATTCGGCGGCGGCGCCATTGTGCTATGCGTAACTGGCTGTGAATAAAACGGCTGAAATGTATTGCCGAGTGTTGTATAAGACAACGTGCTCAACGGCATGGCAGCGGAAGTGAGGTTAGGTACGGCACCAATGGCATTGACAGGCATGCATGCGTTCGTATATTTGCGGGTTTGCAGCCGTAGAAGGCGATCCAGTGCCAGTAGCTGCGGCGGTGCCAGTTCTGTCAGCCTCACCAATGCTCGTTGCTGGTGGTACTCCATTGTCTTCGACAATTACGGTAATATGAGC